ACAAGGCGTGATGCTTCTGGAAATACTTTCTTTTTCTGATGCACATTTGGCTTGAAGGTTATGGCGTGGCTGATATAAATAAGAGCGTTGAGACCATAGATGTTGTATATTCCTGAGATACCCAATAAAACCATAGCTTGCTCGTATATCACAGTAGCTTAGTCGTACTGTCTGCCTGATCTAGTAATCTGTGTCGAAGTGACTGGGGTGATACCGCGGTAATTTCCCTATTGAGCCTTGGTTCTATCTGTAATGCATCTTAGCTCAACATCCATCCACCCTTGAACACCTATCTGACGAACCCTGCTGGTTTTCTTCACCGAAGATAATTGATATCGAACATGGATTTCTACCTCCGTTGCAATTCTCTAAAGTGCCGAGAACAACTGAAGGAGAGGGCAGTCGTCACCACCTGTTCGTAAGTATCCCCCCTCTGCTGCATCTTGTTCTATGACTGTCAAACTCAAGAACAACACGCTGAGCAACCGAGACACATCTTCTGTCTCCACTGCGCAGGAAGCCTTGGTCTATCGCATCCCACAGCCAATGAGAGAATCTGTCCAGCCTGTCAGACTGTCCTCGTGAACCCCGACGACGCGGTAGCAACGGCCCTCAACCCAACGGAAGACTACAAGACCAGTGTTCTAAGCGGACTAGATCCGAATACAATTATGGAGTGCGCGGGACGGGCGTTGCTCTTTTGGACATACCAGACTACACAGGAAATGTGCGTTGATTGATATCGTGATTGATCTAGATGCCCACTAACAAGCTACAGCTTCTACCAGGAGTACCTTGCAAAGACACTGACAGAGAAGTACACCAATCTGAACACGCAAATGGACAAGGTTATACACAATGCGAACTCGGAGATATCGGCCCTACAAGCGAGGATATCAGGTCAGCCTGTCTCCAACACGGCAGTACTCATGAAACCATCTGACAACTAAGCAGATATGCAGACAGCACAGGACCAACTTCGTAAGAAGAACCAGGAGCTAGTCGACATGTATCGAGAGAAATGCAAGAAATTCACACAAATGACAAACTTATACAATATACTCAAATCCCGAGCAATGCGATCCCAAATGCAGACCGCTGCAACAGATACTGTGTCCCAAGCGCTGGATTCGCTAACAGCCTCTCGAAATAATGTATCCGAGCTTGTACCCAGACACACAGAGGCACCAAGACCCCCACAAACCCCATTGCCGAGGCAATCCAACGTATATCCCGTCAACCGGGAAGGCGTGGAACAACTGCATCGCCATCAGAGGAGCGGAACTGGAAGTTCAAAAGGTCGCAGAGAAAAGACTGATGTCGCTGCAATGCCACCACCTAGTCGTCCTATAGACACTCGGAGTAAACGTATGCATCCGGGCTACAAGCTTACAATGAAACTACTGACACTGTCTAGATAATCAGCCTGCCGCAACACCGCAACATCGGACACGTCTCGTGGGTCCTTCACGTCCTTCAACGGGAAGAACACAACTTCCTCACGACAGTATAATGCTGGAGCGTTTCCAAGCTGAGGCTGGCCCAGCTGATGCTCTGCTAGACACACGAGGTTCATTGAGAAGAACGGACGCCGGCATGCAGATTCCTCCCCAGAGACACAGTCCCACAGAACATCCTAGACTGGGTTCTTTCTTTGACAGTACGATCATATAGCCATACTAGATAGACTTACACCTTGCGAGAAGGAGGAGAATGCGGGATTATAGCGATTGTCAAGAAGTCATCTAACAGGCCGGTTGTGACCACTACTAATGTACTTTTAATACCTTAACTGTGAAGATTGAATATATTATAGTATTGAGCCGAGGCAGACATTGACGACCCCAAAATGATAATAATGGCACTCCAACATACAAGAGTGCTTTTACGAGCACAATGTTGTATGTTTGAGGACTACTGTACTTAAAATCTGCCCATCAATAGTAATCCCGATACAATATCTCTATTTGCTCCAATTGAAGCCAGTGCAGTACCACACACATCGCTGTTTATTACGTACTCCCAGGACAATAGTAACGCAAACAGCTACCAAAGTACTACTTGCCAGCTACGACTTCTGTTAGAATGTTCTTGCTTTAGGCAGCACTTTTAAACCACGCCCATCTGATCGGATTTGATTGCTTGACAGCCATACCAAAGAGACGTGATGAAGTGCGTGGTGGGTGAACAGGTAACCGCGGTTGACTAGATGAGACAAAGGCAGGTGAATAAGAACTAGGTGACAGCGACTATCTATATTTAGACGCTGGAGACATTCCTTTCTTACTTTTCTTCTTTTCTTTGTTTTGGTGAAGTAGATAATGTTCATAGGACAATCAAAAGACGGGCACTCCTGGCGACAGCTCAGATTGAATCGCGCCCTGGCTACTATTCTACAAACGGAAGAGAGAACAGGGAAAGATTAAGCGAGAAAGAAAAACAAAGATAATAATAGTAGATAAAGAAAACAAAGCACACCTCGAAAAGAATCAGTCCTGTGAGTTCAAAGATTTACCAGCAAGCGCAAGGATCCAGCCTGCAATGGTATCCGGGGAAGAAGGTAGCACAACAGGATAGATATTCAGGTTAGACATAGAGCTACAAAAAGCAGTAAAGGTGATCAGAGATGAAAGCATGATTTTATCGATGGTGAACTCATTATTTGGAAAGTTTGATGTTGTGCCACTGCAATGAGAAATAAGAACATATATGTTTTCGTACTTTCTCGCGAGACGGAATACGCGTTCTCGTAGAGGAGAGTTGACGCTGGGGATGTCTCCAACCATTGTTGATTTATGACCAGGAAGGAATAGCTGTGTTGTTGCTTGGGAAGTTGTCAAGACTATACCAGTGCTGGGCGCAATTATTATATCAGCTTCGTCGTCGTAATTCGATGGAAAGGTGTTTCTGGATTGAATATGACTTCCAGATGCTAATCTCCAGCTATTTGCACTAGACTCCCTGTAGACGATAGATGTGGCAGGATTCATACTTTCAATGCACTGGACTATGCGTAAGTGGCTTTTGAGAAGTAATGTTGACATGGAGAGTATTATGGGTTCGTGTTTTTGAGGCAGACAATATGGGATGGCCGACTGATTGAAGGAGATAATCTCAGATTGTCGGCGAGCTGGGGTGTCGGTTGAGTGGTTATCAGATGTTTTCGCACGCTGCGATGAATTGTGCTCCTTTCCAGGCGCTTCTGTGGGCATATCCTTAATGAAATAATGGCTCTGGGTGGCTACTTCTTGTATGGAAGCCTGCCCTCTAGTCTCCATGAACCGTGATAGGGAGCCAAGGCTCGTAGTCAGGTGTTGTCTTGAAGGTGCTTTTCCCTTCATAATGGGCGGCATGGCTTCGTGATTCGCACTGTCAGTCTTGTTATCATCCTTCTGAGTGTTATCCAACTTTCGTTTCCGCACCAGTAATGGATTGCCTGGGCTAATATTGTCATAAAGCTGGGGTAGAGCTTCAGGGAGGCAGGAGGCCACTGAGGGATCATCTTCTATTGTTGGAGTGATTAAGTATAATTCTGGTACTGGAGTCCCAATTATTGACTCTGCTGAGCAGTCTGGAAACTCCTGTACGTATGCTTCTTGACGAGACGAGCTACATGCGGATGGAATTGGAGAGTAGCTTCTTCGAGAGGGAAGATCCTTCACGATGGTGTTGTCATTAGGAAAACAGTCAGATGTTGCAATGTTATCCGTAATCTCAGTGTAGGTCACTCGCGAAGTAATGCTGCTCGGGCTCCTGGGTATTGTCATAGCCATGATGACTTGCTCAAAATCGGATGCAAACCCTTTTTCATTGACTATGTCCATATCCGCAGGGGGAATTTCATCAGGCGGACCTCGCTTGTAGGGTGACGACCGACTTGGAGATAGATCATGCGACAGTTGCCTGGCTGTTCCTTCGAAGACCTGGTCCTCGCAATCACTTTCCAGTATTGAAATCGTACTCCCTGGGACAGTATCGGTTCTAGAGCCGCCTTCATAGTGCACGGTATCAATGTCGGTTGGTACTTCAGGTGAAATATGGCGAACGGGACTCAATAGGACGTGGTCACTTGAGCTCGGTGGCGGGCTATCGCAAGAAAAGCAGTCGTCATCTAGAGGCAAAAGGGGCGGGGACTGAAGATGGAACCGATATTCCTGTCTTCAACCTCAGCGAGAAGAATGAAAGAAGCGCGAGATGACCCCAAAAACATACCTCAACCACGTCTTCAAGGGGACACAGCAAGTCATCCAAGTCCAGAGGACAATTCCCAGCCTGCCGTGCACCTTGAATAAGAAGCAATGCGTCCTTAGAACAATCCAGCTTCTCATTGCCAACTCTTTTCTTAATTATATCTGCCTCATGTATCAAAGGGCTCAAGAAATTGCTATCGTAGTCGCTAGCAAGCCCCTCATGTGAACCGAGGAGATTCTCTTCTCGAGAGTATCGAAGCGGCTCAGCTGGAAGTATCAAATTTGTATCCATATCAGAGCTGAAGAGAGGAGGTTCTAGCTTCAGATCATCAAATCGATCCCACAACGGAAGGACTTCATCCCAGCAGTCGTCGATATTGTCTCGCTTAATGTCGCGAAGCACTGACGATAGGAACTGAACGCTTTCTTTTCTAATATCGAGCTTTTCAGGATGTAGGTTCTGCTCGATAACCTGCTGGCTGGATGCGATAGTCTGCTCAATAACAGAGAAAACGTCACAAAGCGGATGGAGAAAATCGGGAGGAATATCGCAAACACCGTCGATATGCTGAAGAGGGTCAATATCTGTGTGCTCAGTAGCTATGCCATGGAAGCGGGCATATTGGAGTAAAGACACTTCGTTTGTGTTTGCCATTGATATGTATATACTGGTGGTATTGTTCGCGACAAACTTGTGAAGGCCTTGCTAGAAGTAATTTGGTACTAATGATGTGGCAAAGAGAAGCACGTGTCTTATGTAGACGCTTCTAGATTGAATCAAGGTGGGAAGACATGACTAGTATTAGCCCGAAATTATGTTCGCCTAATTTTTAAAACTCCGTAATGTATCGCTAGTTATTTGATTATCAGCCCGAAAGTACTGAGAGCCAGCTCTCATATTCCTCACAACCTTTGAATCACGCTAAGCATCAGAATATTCAAATAATTTGCCAGAGTCTTGGTAAATTAGTCATTGTAATTAGACTGGCGAGAACCATCCTTGTTAACAGGCGGCAGGTTGTAAAGAGCGATGAATTCCTCTTCTTGCGATTTTCCTGCCGGATCCAAGACAGGGCGCTCTGCGTGGCAGCAGACGCGCACAGCATGGCGACGGTGAGGAGCGAATCCATAAGAAGCAGAGTGGTTCTATCAACAATTAGGCGAAAGCTTAAGTGTACTGCGAAGGACATGATACTCACAGTGGTTCTATTGTCCCAAATCGCGACATCATTCTTGTTCCACTGGAATCGCGCGTGCATCTCTTGAGTTGTCGCAATAACTTCTGTGAGGTATCTGATGATAGCATCGCTTTCGGTCTTGGGAATTCCCACAATCTTTGTGACGAAGCCAGGATTGAAAAACAGACTGTTCCAGCCAGTGACAGGGTTTGTCCGGATGAGAGGATGTTCTGTGGTAACCGGATCTCTACGGACAGGTCGGCCAAGAGCATGCGAGTCCGAGGCCTGCATATCCGCCGAGTGTAGAGCAGTCAGGCCCTTGAGGTATGTTTGCATATGAGGCGATAGCGCATCATATGCAGCGTATTGAGATGTCCAGAGCGTATCACCACCACCTCCCCGTGGCGGGCCGGTCAAGACCTTGAGCGATGTGTATGAGGGAGGCTGGACTTCATATGTAACCTAATATATCTCATCAGTCCCACATTCGGTATCACAAGCAAGGGTAGCCCATACATCTGAGTGCCAAAGGAAGCTGGGTGTGAACATTGCTCGCTGGTCAGTGGAGTTGTCTCCAGTGTAGACGACGTGAACGTCCTCCAACCCCTCTCTTCTCGGGACCGACGTGGTCGCGTGCTGGAAGGCAATGGCATTAGCAAGAATGTACATCGTAAATAGATAGACCCTTCATACCTTGTGCAGCTTCCCGAAATGTCTACCCAGGTCACGCTGGGCATCGATATCCAAGTCATCCTGTCCTCGGAAGAAAACCACACCACGAACAGCTACCAAACGAGCCAAGTCATCCTTCTGCGCGTCATTCAGCTTCGCCAGATTCACTCCATGAACTTCAGTTCCGATTTTGGGGGTGTAGTCGAAGACGTCTGTTGCGTCTTGGAGTAGATGCCGGAACTTGGCGTCTCCGTAGATACCCCTATCCTCATACGGCGTTTCCTCTAACGGAAGCCAATGAAGATCAGGAAAAGTAGGGAGAAGGTCTTGGTACTGGTAGTTGTCATGCTTTTCCACGACAGTTCGGCCTGGCTGGTAACCAAATTTGTTGTCATCTGTGACTTCCTTCTTGATTACGGGAAGGCGGCCGACTGGGTGGGTTACCACGGGGTCCACGAGTGATGGCGCCATGGTTTATGCGGCAGAGATGACCGTGATGTACAAATGTGCTGGTGGAAACGATACTAACAAGAAGTGTTTGTATGGGGACTTGGTTGATACAGAGGCAGGTATTCGATGCAAGATGAGATTTTGGGTTTATATAGAAATAAATGCACACATAGAGGACGAAGAGGCCACATCCTCCACTCCATTATCAAGGGGAGAGATAACCGGACACAATCAGGCATTGCCCCAAATTCGGGACAGGCGGGAATTGCACCATCGCTGGAGAATATCACCCAAGCGGCTGATCAAGCAACTATGTATCCATGGGACACAGAACGGCGTTTCGGAGGAGCCTCCCCCCCAAACAATAGCGGGTCCGAGGATGGTGTCAGCGAAGATCGCGTCATTCGAAGGCAACAGTTGTGGAGACATTCTGTGACGCTTCGCGTCGGGTCAGATCTCCCGCTTATCTGGGAAGACCCGGAGGCGTCACACCGCTTCCTTGAGCTAAGTTGATCTGTCGCGAATCACATACGTATGTTGGGTTCTAGAATGCCACTAGATGGAACCGGATCAATATACCGTATTTGGGGGTGCGAGAGTGAGTATGGGGAAACACCCCACAGGAACATCATGTTGAGATAGTAGGAGGGAGTATGCCAGGCTGTCTTATGAACCACCCTTCAAGGGTGGCCATAACGAATACTTTATCATAAGCTTAGAAGATCTCAGCAGCAGCAGAAGAAGAAGACCTTCTTAGCGGGAATAAACGGACTCCCCTGCCTCAAGGGTCACCTCCTTGGGGTGGGAAGGTCAAGCTGGAAATCGGGGAAGGATGGGGTGTGACGTTAGCCGAAGGATTAGGTGCGATCACGCCAGTCTGCCGTCCTCTTGCGTCTTGCGCCGAACAGGCCGCTTGGCATTCTTCACCCTCACCGCCTTCTCCAATACCGACCCCTGGCGAGCCGCATCAATAATCTGTCATGGTAACTACAAAGTAGTTAGTTACGAAGTGTTGAGACTGAGTCACTGTGATGCTTGTTGACGCACTCCGTACAAATCAAATAACTCATTTTTCGGATCTTACATCAAGCATGTCATGCTTCTGTAATACTATTAAATATGACTCATTGGAGCCTTAAGTATGCGATTTGAAGCTAGCTTTCTATGGAGCCTATAATAGTATCCTCAATGGTCATGACCCAGGTGCCTTATATCCAGTTTAGCGACGCCTTTCTGCGCGGTCATAGGCAGGGTAGTCGAGGGGTCATTGTCACTAGCGGATAGCCGGATCAGATAACGTGGCAAGGAGCCGAAGTTGTAAAGTTTCGCATCATGTAGCGAGATTAGGTATGCTTCATCAAAGCTAAATCCATCCGTAATCTACATTGAAGACTATGTGATATCCATGCACAGACTTCCAGACATTCATGAAACAGAGGGCGGGCCCAGAACCACCTCTTGCACTTGCTCGGTAACTCCACCGAGACGGCTGGCCACGCCTAATATGCCAGCCTCAACATCGCCTAGAACGGTGGCAAGCTCGCTGACGATGGACTTCGGGGCTCCAGCGGCTGCTCCATCTCGACTACGTGATGTCACAAAGTCATGGATCTGTCGTTCCAAAGTCGCCTCAACTCCGTGAAGGTGGTCTTCAATCTCTTTCAAGTTCCGTGTGTAGCGTTCCAAGACCTCTCCCATCTCGTCCGAGCGCTGAGAGAAGTAGTCAACCAAGTTGACGGGTACTCCATTCACGGATGTGGCAGTGGACGGGTCGCTTTCAACATCGTCCGGGAGAGCTAGAGTGTTCTTGCGCGTAGATCTCAAGGCTTGTCCATCCGACATCTTCTGATCCTGAGACCACCATCCAGCCCCACCGGTAGATTGATACTGCAGTGGCAACTTCAAGGTATCAATCGCTCGGAATGCAACTTGAGCCTCAGCTGCGTCGCGAGACACAAGATTACGAAGCTGATCAATGTCACCTGCGTCATTCTCGAGTGCGTGCTGCATCGTCTCTAGTTTTCCTTGGACAAATTCAACATCATGTGGAATCGTCTCTCCCTGGCCCGCGATAGTGGGTATCATGTTCGCAACCTCGTTGCATATCTTGATCTGGTTGAGGACGAAGTTATCAAACTTTTCCAACTCCGATTTGATCTCATCTGCGCAGCTCTCGTATTTCGTTGTCGGAAGAATGTTGCTGATATCGACCTTGACCCCAGGGATGACCGTTGTCCCGGCCGCGGCCGCGGGTTGTGTCGTTGGTTGTGTTGTGGTATTCTGATTTCCAAACAAAGACAGAGTAGGCTTCTGTGATTGCTGCTGCTGCTGCTGCGCGCTGGTTTGGTTGGAGCCGCCACTGTGATAGTTGGCATGAGCCACGATTGATGTTGTGAGCAGGAAATTTACTTACAATAGGCCCCCTCCGGTAGTCGTAGAGCCCCCAAGTCCACCAAAAAGTGGCTTTGATTGCGTCTGATTTGCGGTGTTACCGCCCAGATTGCCGAATAGGCCCCCACCAGTGTTCCCGCTTTGTGTGTTGTTGGTCGTGGTGGTGGCTCCTGAGAAAAGACCACCTGTCTGTGGTTGCGAAGTTGTAGCAGTAGAGTTTCCAAACAGACCCCCGCCAGTTGAAGTAGTATTCGACTGCTGGCCGCCTAACCCCGGAAACAGACTCGAACCGGCAGGCTGAGATTGCTGTGTAGCGCCTCCTGCGTTTCCAAATAGGCCACCGGCTGGCTTTGACTGTGTGGCAGTATTTCCAAGATTACCGAATAACCCACCGGAGGTAGTAGTAGTCGCCGGTGTTGTTGTAGTGCTGGTCTGCGTATTGGTTCCAGAGCCACTAATAAGACAATATTGTTAGTTTTTTGAGGCTTCAATGAAGGCCAGGAATTCAAAGAAATGCGACGAAGCAATTGCGGTATGAGCACCTCATACAGGCGTGGACCATGGTGACACTATGATGCCACTAACAGATGCAACAGGAAAAGCCTTACAATAGAGAATTGGCAGAACCAGTGTTGATGGACAGGCCGGTTGATGTACCGGCAGGCTTTGTACCGAACATGATGGACGGTTTAGACGGGAGATAATAACGAGCGCTCGGATGTCGAGTGAGTTTTGATAGTGCTAACGCGACAAGAACCTTTGTTGCGCCCGTCAAGAGGGTCTTGTGCCAGCACAATGTCCACAGGAGCTGGATCGAGTTGCGACGTCGGAAAACAACAATCAAGACGATCCTCCCCGGCTAGTGTTGGATGGGGAAAGATTTGCCGGTCCGAGATTATTCAGCGTTATCGATAAGGACCAACTAACTAAACGCAGTATAACCAACACCAATCATTTAAGAAAGCATTTCAGATCGATTATCAGTTACGGCTTTTCAGATTTAGCTCATTGATGAAGAAAGCTAAGAGAATATTTATCAGCACCACAGTCGCATCATCCTACACTTTATTGCAGGTTGCTATTTCCCCTGATTCCCATTTGCAGGCACTGTAGAAGCTAATTCACATATGTAGACGTGATTACTTGGTTTTCTTCAATTGTCGCCTCATTGGCTCTATTTCACAATACCAAATTGACTGTGCCTCAAGCTACAATATACTTGAATCCAAGGCATTTGGCATTGAGAACAAAGGGCAGCGAATGTCAGTCCTTTGCTCCACCCACTGCTTCACAACGCCTCCAGCCATTCCAGTTTTTGTTTATTGTTCCAACTTGCTACTATATAAGAAGCCTCAGCCCCAAGAATGGTCGAAGAACAAGAGCCCATATGTGTCGCTTCTTCCCTTTCTAGTGGCGGCGAGCATAGTTCAGGGTTTGGCAGCCGTTCTCTGGAATCTCAAGGCTCCACTTCCTTACAGCCAAAGGAGGACCCCGATCTCAGCCAAAACCCTAATACACAATATTTCAAGGGCGCAGAATGGTAAGTCTCTAAATATCACTATCAGGGCTTGGCTGATCTTGGAATTCAGGTCGGCGGATGGAACCACTTTATTGACGGATTCCTCCGATCATCATATCAGAACTTGGATCTTGTCAGTAAATCCCACTCAGCTATTGTTAACATAGCCTGACCAAAACCTCTACAGACCACCCGATCTGCTAGAGAAAACGACCTACCCCAGCGGCATATCGCCATACTCAGTCTTGCCGTCAGCAGAACCGACATATGCGACTGCCATGTACCCTTTCTTCTCTCTTCAAGACCCGTCGACTACATTATTTCTCTCATCTGTTCGAGACCATCCAATCAGGTTGACATCTGCTCTTGCTCCAACCTCAGTGGCGACTTATTCTTTGGTAAACCCAATGACAGAAGCCTTTATAACGCCCCATTCAATCATTTATCCATCTGCGTTGGGAGGGAGCCAATTTCTCACTGGCTCTGACAGCCTAATTTGCCTCTTCGATGTCTCTCGACCCGGCAACGATGGCCCTGTTACTTCCATGCCCACAATACCAAGCAAACGAAAGCAGCTGGTGGGTGGGGGCGTGGGAATGAAAGGAATCATCTCTGCCATGGCCTTGGATCCCACCGGGGCTGGTATTTTAGCGGCTGGAACCTTTACCAGACATGTTGGGCTTTATGGCGCAAATGGAACAGGGGAGTCCTTGGGGACATTCAGCATATCAAAAACAGAAGCGCACCGTCATATTGGCGGCCGTGGAATCACGCAACTGCTGTGGAGCCCCTGCGGAAGGTACCTCTACGTTGCTGAACGGAAAAGTGATGGTGTCTTGGTATATGATATCCGAGTCACAGGACAATTGCTTGGATGGCTGCAAGGTCGCAAGGCTTTCACAAATCAACGGCTGAAAATCGATATGGTTCCCAGTGGAGATAACGGCTCTCATGAGATCTGGGCTGGCGGTACCGATGGATGCATGAGGGTGTGGCAGAACCCTACACATGTTAGTGGTGCTCAGGATCCCAAGTGGGAATGGAAGGTTCATAACGGTAAGTATGCTTCCCGATGAAAGACAAGGATACCCAAGCTAATATAGAATTATAGATACTGTGAGTAGTACTGTACTGCATCCAATGGGCAATATAGTAGCTACAACCTCAGGTCAACGGCACTTCGAGAAAGACATCGACAATACCAGCCCACCACCAGTACCTAATATTGACAACAGCTTGAAGGTGTGGTATATGCCATTCCTAAACGCGAACAGCAATGACGACTGAAAAGGGCTTGTCGGAGGTCATGCAGTGGTTCATGTTGTCTCTGCGCACCCCGAAGGTTTGATTTCTCCAGATGACTGACGCATCCCTTATCCGTCAACCCTGCAAAGCCCTGTGCTGGGGACCATGAACATTAAGAACGCGATATATGGGTGCTTGAAGCGATCAGGGGCTAGTGTCTCTAGGCCGGGTTCCTGCAGCAGCAGCATCAGCAGCGAATAATAGGCCATGCCGCTATTAAATGCTTGCATCTGTGCCGGCCGAGGACATACTCGAAAGGTCACTCTGGAAAAGAATAGGTGACCAAGGGACTTTGGGTTACTGGTGCCAGAGACTAAGACAGCCCAGAGATCTTCTTTGAAATTTGGATTTTCCAACAGGATGTTAGAAAGTCACAAATTCACGCTGTTTCATCTCCACTTTGTGAATGCGTGAATTCAGGCAACCCCTCCACCAACGTGAACGTGAATCTGTGAACCGGGATCTGTGAACGTGAATCCTGTGAACCCAGCCACGCCTACCAATATGTCTACTAAACACAGATAGAATCAATTTGAGCCTTCAACCAGTTTATTTTCCCAAATTCAGTGTTCTTGTTGCCTGGAGATGGGGTGGCTTGGTCTGGATTCCACTTTTCGGCCTTTACTATGGATTCTTTTTACAGCCCAGTGGATCCTGATTCCCTACTCAAAGGCAAGTGTGTTAATGTGTTTGTGATTCCATTCACAGGTAGTGAATAGCATGCAAAATTCACAAAATGCCTGAGTTTCCACACAGTACTTAACTTCTCTCCCCTTCCCTCCTCTCTTCTTTCCATATTCCTCGTGTCTACAAATCCTCATTCCTCAGAGTACAGAGCTTCTTGTGATCAATCAAACATCTTGCTTCACAGGCATATTGTAGCCCTAAGGACGTTGGATTTGCTTATTCCATCTACATCAACACTTTGGTCAAGTTGTCCTTGTTTATTCCTGCTTCTGGAACTTTCAAAAACGCGTTCAGGAACGAGTCTTCGGATATCTCGTCCAGCAAAGGACCAGTGTTGGTCATTTTTCGAAATGGCTAACTTTTCTCCTACAGGAGCACTGGTGAACGATGTGTCCTTCACTGACGAGGGAGAATTCGCGGCACTCTTTGAAGGTTGTATGTGGGCAAAGAACGGGTAAGTATCCGTTCGCTTGTTTCTGTCCTTTAGTGTCAACAGCACCTAACTTTATATACTAGTTGTAACTACGTTACAGCACCAGAAGGGCATACTAACAATGCTCAAACCTTTTCAATTCAAGACCTCCCAAGCACCTTCATGGCGCAGGACGCTGGTGTTTTTGGAGATCTTCCTGATCCGTTCACTACGGGAGAGGATATAGATCTGTCGGTATTGCCTCCGTTGGATTCAGAGCACAGTCATTCTGCAATCATCGACAACGAAGTATCGCCTGAAATGGGGGATAACCAAACCAACCCCAATGAGGATATTGGTAATTTTGATCAGACTGCGGCTGCCCAGAACATGAATCCCGGTACTACTGGGCAGTCCACTGCTACGGGTATACCTCAGCCCGGAACCATGTCTGGAGACCTGAACCCTAACACTACTGACCAATCCGCCGCTACGGCTTTGATGCATTCTGGGTCTGTGCCTGTAAACCAACATATGGGAAATTTGGCGCCTCCAGATGCCCGTGTAATTGCTTCTACTTACTTCACTGGTGGGATTGGCCCTATCATGGGTCCTATAAACGGTGTTCAGCAAACCACCTTAAAGCAAACACGCGAATCACTACCGAGCGGTTACTCTACCCTCCCTTGTTATGCTCTTGGGGCTGGTGTTGCTGTCAATAACTCGGGCGTCTCATTTACTGAGGCCGACAATGAAGACTTCTTTAATCGTGGAAACAATTACGCGAACAACGCTCCCAGCAACCTCGTGGGAAATGCCCCGGGCAACCATGTGGATAACGTCTCAAGAAGCTCATACAACGCCACCCCCACTGACCAGGCCGCAAGCATGCTCGGCAATGTAACCGGAGTACAGGATGTCTCTTCAAACGCTTCTCAAAAGAGTACTCCACCTTCGCAGCCAGTCTATGCTGCTGGTGGGCCCCAGGGAACTACTATGCCAGCAAACCAAGTGGATAGAAACCGTTCTAGTTCTGGTTCTTCCGGCAATTCTGGTACGTCCCAGAAATGCAAAGCATCTTCGCCTGCCGATCAGATCACCGGCAACCCTGGAAGCCAGTTCACGGGACATCAGAACACCGGAAGCCAGCTCACCGGACATCAAATGGCTGGAGATCAGTTCGCGGGAAACCAAATGACTGATCTTCAATTTACCGGGAACCAGATGACTGAACATCAGTTCGCCGGAAGCCAGATGAACGAGCATCAGTTCGTCGGAAGCCAGATGACTGGACATCAGAGCATCGGAAATCAGATCACTGGATTTACACCCCAGCAAGGGACTCAAGTGTATCAGGGTACCTTCCCTTCTCAACAGGTTGCTTGCCAGAACAGTACCCTGGTGCAATCTTCGCCGGAGTCTGGATCTGGACCAATGCACTCCAGTCCACCTGAATACCTCCCTGGCAAACTTGGGCAAGTTGAGGAATTCAACCAAGGCATATCATCTGGAAGCAATTCTGTGCAGCAGAACAGCCCCTCTGATGGTCATTATGCGCCCCCCAGTCAAGGCGAAGCCACCTTCCCAATGGATATTTCCGGCCAGCCGGTCATGACCGCCCAGGCCACTGTTCATAACCCACAGCCAAGCCCCATTTCACTGATGGACCAGCTGATGAACCCGGAAGCTTATAATATGGACTGCGGTACGCTGTACTCTTCAGTCGAGGAAGCCAGGGCAGCACGCCCGGTGCAGGATGGCGTTCGAGAAGACACTACCCTGCCCACCAACGATTTGCAGAAACAAGCAATTGTTAGGGCCCTCACCAAGGCGATGCTCAGTTTCAGGAACGCCGAGGATAACCCTGGCATGATTAAGCCTTTCAAAGAGGGAAAGTATAGCGCCGAGAGAGTCGAGTGTGTGTGCTGGGAGATACTGGTAAGTCGTGAACCCAGGCGATACTGTTGTGTAGTGGATTAACGTTGCATTTAGGACTGTGTTATCACCAGGCAAATCTCGGGCTCGTTGTTGGCAGCTCATGGATTGAAGAGAAAGATCACGAGCGATTTGCTGACGTTCGCTGAACGCATGACTAAAGTTCTAGATTGTCTCGAAACCCAAAAAACAATCTGCAAGCATCTATTAGATGCCCCATACATGCATCAATTTGTTGATGATCCGCAGGCTGCTCAAAAGCGTGTCATTGCCAATAAGACTTTGAACAAGCGCAAAGGTGAAGTGATGAACGCGGGCAAGCAAGTTCTCGGAGCCAGAAAGGCAGCTGAGTCTACCACCATCAACCAGCCGGTTAGGGTTGCAGCGGCTACAATGTCCACAGCGTCTGCTATGCCTACCATGGCTACCGTGCCTCCAGTAAACAACGCCGGTGCTGCAATGACCCCAAATAACACCCCGGGCAACATTGCAACGACCGGAAGAAACCCTCAACCTGCCACTCCATCCAACGCGACCCAGCAGATGAACGTTATGGCCCCTACCAACAAAGTTAGATACCAAATGGCGATGAGCGCAGGAACCCCTACACCTGTTCCACAAGTCAGACCAGGCCCACAGGGATACCAGTCTGTACCTTTGAACAGAGTTGCCGCTGCTCAAGCCTATAGCAACCGTATGATGGGCCCAACCTCTCATCCAAGACAAAATGCCGGGTCCGTCACAATGCCTCCAACCGCTCAGGCGTCTCCTCATCCGTACGACCCAGAAGTAACAATCAAAACCCTGTTGGGACGAAACTTGATGGTCAATTACAACCAACTCGCCTCGCAATCTCATCCATACTCACAGATGGGATACCCACAACAGATGGGAAATCCGGTCCAAATGGGACACCAACCTCAGATGGGCCATCGAACTCAGATGGGACATCAGGCACAGATGCAAGGTCCTGTATCAGGTACACGTAAGCGCAGAAGGGAAGAAACGGACGTCGAGGACGATTCTCCTTCGGCCAAGCGGCAGCATTAATTGCACCCCAAACTTAACAACTCTTGTCGAAAAGATCATCGAACAGGCTCATATGATAGAAAAGGGACTCGACGACACCAGTTGCTTGTCAATACACTACTCAACGAACCTTTGAACATAATAACAGATTCTACATAAGACAGCAACGCGAAAGAACTTGGTGCTCGTTATGATACAACCCTCAAACCACCTTGAACACAACACATAATATCTACACGCAGAGAGCATGCGACAGCACAAGTTGCTTGCCAATAATCTAATTTACGAATGCTTACGACGATAACAGGCTTTTACGACAGAAAGGAATGGACAACAGGACTTACGTCTTACGAATACATCTCTCATCTCGATTTACAAGAACCATACACCTACCCATAATACAGTCAAGACCAACACACCATCTACTACATCTAATTTGGTCTACGAATCTTACGAGCTACGAAATCTACAGAGGTTTTTGGCAGTTGTAGTTGTTTTGTGATACCCCAGTCGATGATACTCAACTCCGACTCACTTTCTGGCGTTGCCATTGGAATACCACCCATCTTCTTTCTTCCTTTCTCTCATGACTGGAATACTTTCGCATTGGCTCTACACTCAGGATCATCTACTGCATTGTCTCGAAAGACCACATTCAGAAGATGCGCCCTTTGGAAAATTGAGGCTAATGTGTACGACAATCTGGTCGTCACTTTTGATTAAATCGGTGCTGAGCTGGTCTCATGCACTGTTTTTGCTTCAATTTACTTCAACATTTGTTTCTTCTTCGCTTTCCTTCAGGTACATGCCTTTCTCCTGTTTTTGTAAGAGTTCTGGTGCTTAATGTTTCCTTTTTGTTTTCTTTCATTTTTCTAATATGGTGGATTTCGCGGGAAATTGATTTTATTTGTTGCTTATGGGATTTGATTTTCTGCTTTTGTTGTTTTCCAGTTACGTTTTTGATTTTATTTGATTTTCTGCTGCAGTTGTGTTCTTACACACTTGACTTTAGTTGGATTTTCTGCTTCTGAGATTTGTTTTTTCTTTTGCTTCTGCGTTATCCTTCGGGGTACATTGTCTTTCCTATTTTCTCACGGGTATCAAATCTTCGCCTGACGTGGCTGTACATTTATAGATTGCCAGAAACTTCATGTCTATAATAGCCCGGTAGACAAGAAATGAAATCACGCAGGTTTAATTCCATAACGTTCATATGGGAAATTCTCCAAAGAAGGCAACAACTCTCCCCACCCATCACCAATCTCACCGGGCTTACCGGCACTTTTCAACCGACCGGCGACCAGTTCATCGGCCTCACGCTCCGGCTCGGTCTTCTCTTCTTCCTTATGTTCCCCAGTAAGCCCAGCCAGCACCTCTTCCTCACGCCCCTTATACGACTCCAACAATCCGGGATGCGGGACCCAAACAACCCGCATACCGGCCCTCCGACCGGCCTCAACGCCAGGCACCGCGTCCTCAAAGACCAAACACTCCTCAGGCTTGATCTCGGTCTCTCCCTTTTCGCGCAGGCTCGAGTTGATGGTTTCTAGCGCGAGCAGATAGATATCGGGAAGCGGCTTACCCCGTCCCTTGCCAATGCGGGGATCGTCGCCCAGGACCTGTTGGGATTTGGGGAATGCGGAAAACAACTCGCCCAGATGGCTGGCCTTCAGCTTGAAGTTCCGGCTGTGGGAAGACGTGGCCAGAGCAAGGTGCACAGGCTGGTCGGTGGTTTGGGTGGAAACAAGCTTGGCGAGGAGGTCCCTGACGCCCGGAAGGGGCTGGGATTGAGGGAAGAATTTCTCCTGAAGGGCGGATTGCTTCGCGGCGTATTCTTCGGGAGAGATGGGGAGCTGGGCCCATTGGTGGAAGATACGGCTGGCCTGGAATGGACAGTCAGAGGAATGATTATAGGAGATGGGAAGGAGGGTAGAGCATATGGGATGAACTGCAGTGGGGAACTCATGAGATAGGAAAGGGAGTGTACTTACATCTGGTTGAGGACGACCCTGCAATTGAGCCTTGATAGACCACGGCAGCAAAGGCTTTCCATATTCCTGAAGAATGGCATTGGTGATATCCGTGTATTTGTCCTCGGAGTCGATGAGCAGGCCATCCATGTCGAAGAGACATGCCCGCACGCGGGGTAGACTGGGCATCAATCAGCTAATTGCGAGCTATTTGAGCGGGGATTAAAGTCATACTTTTGAGCTGAGCTAGGCATATTGCAGGTAGTCTCCTCGGATATCTAGATGCGAGGATAATGCGTTCAGCGTTGATGGTAAACAGCAAATATGCACCTTGACCGTTAACGATGAATGAGTATCGGAGATCGGCAGAGAGGGGAAATTAATGCCTAAGGCAGGGAGGGGCAGCGGCATCTCCGACTCCGACTCGCCGACTCCGCGGAGCTGCAAGTAGCTTCTGGAACCACCAGAGCAGAGCAAACCACCAGTGGAATACACGGACTTGGTGAGCCTACAAACAATCAGGACAGATATGACAAACGATCCGAAGCAAAAAGCCAACAATGCGGCTAACAGTGACGGCGAAGAAGAAGAGGACGTGTTTCACGATGCGCGCTTCCCAGCTGAAGAAGAAACGGTGAGCATAATTACTTCCTGCCCCTCACTACCAGCAGGATACTGATATGGATGCGAAAACCAGCGACTCTTAGAAGAATCCCATACCATCAAAGCCGAAGCCAATAAACTATTTACCGCAGCGTGTTATGACCAAGCTATCTCGTGCTACGACCGCGCCCTCGCCTCATGCCCCAACTACCTCGACTACGAAGTCGCCGTTCTGCGAAGCAACATGGCCGCATGTTATCTGAAACTTGAAGACTGGAAAGCGTCTGTCGACTCAGCGACAGCATGCATCGATCGCTTGGATAAGGTGGTTCCTCCTGCGACAGGGGCAGCAGATGCGGACGGTGTCAAGGGAAAGCAGCCGCAAGAATCGAGTGGCGAAGACGCCGTCGTCGAGATAACGGGTGACGATGATGAGGCCGAGGAAGAGCTGAAGCGGTTACAAAAGCAGGATGAGAGGAAACGGGATGTGCTGCGTATTCGCGCAAAGGCGCTCATGCGACGGGCGCGGGCGAAAATGCAGCTCGGTGGCTGGGGGAACCTGCAAGGGGCGGAAGAGGATTATAAGGAGTTGGCTGCCATGGATAATTTACCACCAGACGATAAGCGTATTGTGCAGAAGGCTCTTCGGGAGTTGCCTGCGAAGATTGGTCAAGCGAGGGAGAAGGAGATGGGGGAGATGATGGGGAAACTCAAGGATGTAAGTCGATGTCCTACAAAGTTATCTAGCGACGTGCTAACAGAATATAGCTGGGTAATGGATTCCTGAAGCCGTTCGGGCTGTCCACAGATAACTTCAACTTTGTGCAGGATCCGAAGACGGGTGGATATAGCATGAACTTCCAGTCTTGAACTTCCAGTTGGTTGATATGCTGATAGATTGGCTTGTTATGGTGCATCGCGGAGTCTGGATTTTTGATAGTTGAGCGTCATATAAATTAGTCGTAATCTCACGCCAGACATGGAATTTCTTGGTAGACGATATCTACAAGTCATTGACAGGACGGTAGTGGGTATTGATTACTACTATTGAAGTCGTGGTCAAGTAACGGAGATTGAACCATGCCTTATGTTGAGCGCAGCAAAAGCGACGCAACACCCACGAGTCTGGATTAAGTCGCTTAGCAGCTGCAGCGTCGGCCCGAGTGTCAACAGAGCCGGGGGCAGGGTGATAACAAAAAGGGTCAAGATGGACATGGGGATCCCCGCATATCCGCACGGGGGGATTTCCGAGGGGTTGCTATATCCTTAACTCCGGACTGCCATCAATTCAAGTCAATACTATTCCTCTCCACAATCACATTCCCCTTCCCCCCCTCCTCTCTCATTCTTCATAAATCACACAATGTCAAACATAGTCCAGACCACTACACACCTTGGTGAAATTCGCGGAAAAACCACGAATGGTGTCTCCCAATTCTTGGGAATCAAGTACGCCACCTTGAAGAATAGACTTGCAGATGCCGAACTAGTCGAAAGGCGCGATGGAGGCGTTCTTGATGCAACTAAAGATGGGTAAGGCATTTGATCGTTAAAAGCTGCACGGCTTCCTGGCTTCTCTTTTCGGTTACATACTAAACAAGGTCTCTATAGGCCCACCGCGATATCACCTCTAGCTGGTTGTGACTTGGAACTCAGCGCGATTCAACACACCCTACCCAAGAAGGAACTCACCCAGTCAGATGTGGACTGTCTGAACCTAAATATTGCTATCCCTGCAGACACATCTGCGCATTCGAAACTTCCCGTGTTTGTCTTCATCCATGGCGGTGGTCTTGCGATTGGGGCGAATTCCTGGCCTCAGTTTGACTACGAGCGTTTCGTCAAGTTGTCCATTGACAATGAACTACCAATTGTTGCGGTATCAATCAAGTGAGTAGATTTATTGTGGCTATACACAAAATACGGGTTACTTAACGTTGATCAAGCTATCGTTTAGGACCATTTGGATTTTTTACCTCCGATGAACTGCGCAACGCTGGGTATAAAGCTAACAATGGGCTTCGGGATCAGAGGGTGGCTTTAGAATGGGTACGCAGGCACATTGTGGACTTTGGAGGGGATCCCGAGAACATCACTGTTGCTGGGATGAGTGCTGGAGCAGGTAAGCCTTCTCTCGTTTTTCCTCTAAAGGAAGGGAACTGAACAGTATAGCCTCTGTCACATTCCATCTCGACTCCGAAACACCGCTATTCAAACGCGCTATCTTGATGAGCGGCTCTCGGTTCTTTGTCCAGGCTCTGCCATACGACGCGCACGAGGGCAACTATCAACACGCGATGTCGGCACTTGGATTGCAAAATGCTACGTCGGACGAAAGGATCAAGGCCCTTTTGGAAACACCGGGCCAAGATCTGCTTGCTAAACTTCCTCCATCTGTCTTAACTGCTCCTGCGGTTGATGGAGATATGGTTCCGTCTGCCGTAACATATGCGCAGGTAGCTGATCAGACAAGCGATATCCCCAAGGGAAAACAGTGGTGTCGCGATTTATTGATTGGTGATGCCCAATATGATGTGAGTGGTCGGAGATTACGAATATTCAAGTATTATGAATTTACACTTACTTTTCTAGATCAACATTCTCGCTATCCTACTGCCTCATTTGAAGAACGCATGTGCAGGGCGATTTGCGAAAGCCGTTCACTCCGTCTTTCCCACCAAGCAAGAACTAGCGACACAGATACTGGCGAGATACGGGTTGACTGCCGAAACTACGGACGATGAGGCTTTCCCTGCGGTTCTCAACTACCTTAACGATATCTTCATATTGGCGCCAACGCTGACATACACGCGTGGGTGGAAAGGGCATACCAATGTCTACTACTTCAACGAGGGAAATCCTTGGGATGGACCTTGGAAGAGCAAGGCTGGCCACATATTGGATGTCGCTTACCTGTTCCAGAATTTTAGAGAGTTTTTGACTCCTCCGCAGCAGAAGATAGCAGCTGTGTTCGCAGTTGATTTCTTCAAGTTTTGCCATGGCATTAGACCATGGCCTGCCGTGATAGACGGCGACATCGAGAAAGGATTTACGGCGCGAGTCTACGGGCCCTCCTCTGAGGGAGAGACAGTTGCACAAGTAGCTCAAGCCTTTGGTGACCACACCCGACGAAGGCCGGCTTTATTCGATCTATCTGACGGAACGTCCTTGGATGAAATGGCAAGGGTCGCTGCCGTATTTATGAGAAGTTAGTACTGCAAGATTTGAATGTATGAGACGTGTAACTTGCAAAGGAAAGACCAAGGTTGCGACTTCCTTATTGAACGGGAGGAACGCCTAGACTGCAATCATTATCTTTGTCTCAACAGACCAACTCTTCTACTTTTTTTTCCGCACACGGACCTAAATATCCTAATTATTCCTATTGTCTCATTTTTATACTCTCCTATAATGCAGCAGAGAAGATTACTGCTTCCAGGAGAACCTGTACCTTACGACCCTTCACGCCCATGGTTTCCGCAATATGGTGCCGGCAATGGAGAAGGGTAGGTGACTGTCACCATGAAACGCACAGTTTGATAACCATAGAAGGACTCCCTACTTCCGTGGCAACATTATAGTATTAAACTCCGTTAACTACTTCCAAGGCCAGCCAATATCATTGACATGCCGAATCGTGGACGTGCATAAACCATTTTGGAAGGCGTGTGCGGTGACCGTCCAAGTCGAGGGGCCTTTGGGCACTTTAGGCGGAACACTACAGGTCAGAATGTTCGACAGACGCTTTACACTAGGCATGCGATTGAGGTTTGGCTGTCCGAATTGGTGCCATGCCATCGAAGCGGGATATCGGTATTATGGGTCATGGCCAGCCATGCCGAATACACAGCCATCAAGTAATCCTGCAGGAAGTCAAGATTCACAAAGTACTCTTAGCTTGAATCAAAGAGAAGAGCGTCTCCAAAGGGCCATGATGTATTACTACGAGACGGAACTGCAAGCGTACAACAATCTCCGTGACCTTCAAGTGGGACACATCCCCAAACTGCTTGGTACTGTTACGATGACATGGCAAGTAACGAATGAAATGGGGTACACTTTCTTTGGATCCTGCCCTGGATTAGTTCTCATTCCTCTCGTCGGAACCCCCTTCCTCGATATGCACTACATCTTACAGCACACGTGGCAGTACATTTTCAGGGATCTTTGCAACATCAGACAAATTCTGCAGAGTCGAGGCTGGCATAGAATTGATACGACCCCGAGGAATCTTATCATCGTTCCATGTCATCCCTGGGGCCTTTTCAAAGTGGTACTGCAGAGCCTGCAACTGAACGACGGGCCTGGTGAAACTGGGACGTCAATCACATTTACGCCTTGACGAGCTGTCACGCTGGTTCAAGGCGTTTGCAGACATGAATTCATGCTGAAGGGATCATCACGAGATGACTATCATTAGTAGAGATAGTAGGGTGTTTCAAGTTTCGGACATTGAGGCTTTTGGAGTTTTGATTACAATTGATGCCCTCAATACTTAGCTTATGTAGCTCATGATTAATTTGCAATTTTTAAGATTCGCTTGAGAAGACATATGGAAGATAAACCCATACGAATAAACAAGTGTATCAAATGGTAATTGGGTATGGGCAATCCAGCGCCATTTTGTCTTCAAAATTATTCATTTTCATACTCACAACTAATAACACACACACACTCCCCACAACGACTCCGGACTAAACACCATCTCTCCCCCCCCCCCCACACACATTTTAAGCAACAGTCGCGTTAACCGTAGTATTAAGGAATCCCGAACCCAGCTTCGTCTCCGTAGCCTTAATCAGAGCCTCGACGGCATTATCAAAGCTCGAAAACATCTGACCCACCACCGACTCACCACAGGTACTTTCCCTGGGATTCGTGCTAGTATCCCTAGTAGTGATAGTATCCCGCTTCTTAAAGCTAATGCCTGGGGTAATCTCCACACAATTATACTGCGACTCAGCAGCACGCAACTGACAGATCTCATCCGTCTTGCAGTCACCCGTACAGTCAGAGACATCCCAGCCACGGCTCTTACGAGCATAATAATCCTGGAAGACGGAGTCATCATTCTCAAAGAGCACCGTGACATTGTGCCAGAAAGCCGGGGTTAGTTCAGCGGCACTGTCAGTAACGGGCGGGTCAAGTAGCGATCCGTAGGTCTCCTTAGCAGAGTAGTATTTCTCCCATGTGGGGTTTGTCTGGTATGTTGAGCTGGACATGTTGGTGATGTATTCGGTGAAGTCGAGGACACCAAAGGTGACGGGGTCGACGGAGTAGACGCGGAACGCAGGGTTACCGGAGGTGGGGGTCATGGCGGGCATGATGTAGGACATCATAGATGCGGTGTCAGCGGACTGGTCTGTGTAATTGGAGTAGGCGAGTTCGAACTCGTCTTTGTGGGTGTGGCCGTAGAAGACGGCGGCGATGGTGGCGTCGTAGCGCTGGATGATCTGGTTGAAGTAGTTGGAGGCGTCGTGGAAGGTGTCGCCGGATCCCATGGGCATGTGGCCCATTAGCCAGACGCGTTCGCCGGCTGTTTCTGCTGCGGAAAGCTCGTCGACGAGCCAAGCGAGCTGGCCACTGGGGTCCTTTTCCATGGTCTTTTCGTAGAGCCAGAAGTTTTCTTTGTAGTAAAGGTTGGTGTTGAAGGAGATGATGCGCAGGTTTCCGCCGGAGTATTTGACTGAGTAGGCGCCGTAGTCGTCGGCTGTGCTGGCGGCGGTGGATCCGATCCATTGGCTCCAGTCGGAGGAGAGGGTGTCGTAGGCCCACTGGCTGGAGATGGTGGTGTCGATATCAGCTGGCGGGAAGGAGTTCACTGGGGCGCAATCGTGGTTACCGGTGACGCCGTAGACGAGGTCGAAGTAGTCGGCCATTCGGGAGTTGTAGGCATCGTTTAAGTCGTTGGTTACTTCGGTTTCGTTGACTAGCCAGACGGCACCTTCAACGACGTCGCCGGTGAATATGACAAACGAGGCGTTGGGAACGAGGTCGTTGATAGCTGAGTACATGCTCTCTTCCAGTGTGAGGGGGGCATCGCAGTTATGGTTTCCGTATTCGCCGGCCGGGTAGTCTGTCACACCGGGGTCATCGGAGGAAGTATAGGGACGGCAGCAAATGGGCTTAGTGCAGTTGTAGCTGGCAGAATGATTAGTCGTTGTCTTCCCACAGCTGGGTGAAGATCGCATACTTAGCGCCAGTCTCGTACGAAAGATCAACGTGGATGTCGCTGATGTGGACAATCTGCAGAGGAGTCTCTCCGCTTGGTGCTGGACGTGACGCATTTGCGGGTTTGGCAGATGGGAAATCCACGGTATATTCAGCCACTGCAGGGTAATCGCACAGCCCGAAAATAGTTGTACAAAATAGAACCGCTGTCTTTGAGGGAACGTCCATATTGCGCAAGTCGTGAGCCAAGATTGGGCCTTCACGAGCGATTGCACCCTCACAGACATCGTCGTCATCAACCTAGAAGTTTTAGCTTGGTTCAACAGAGAAGTGATTTGGAAGCCTACCCCAGCTAAGATGCAGACTTCCGTGATCACATCGACAAAGTCGTCATTGCCCAAGTGTGCAAGGGCCTGCAGAACAACAAGAAGAGCCTACGAGTATGTACGAAGAGTGAGCATAAAGCGCTATAACAAATTGCCCAGTGGAGCGACAAACCTCACATGCCGCACAGGTGGCAGCATCCTCGATATCGGTCAAGATCTCGCTGACTGTCGACCTTTTGGCGATCCCCGTCTCGGTAGAAGCGAGAGCAACACCGGCAAGGGCCCCAAAACACAATAAGCCTGAAATTCTCATTTAGCCTATTATCAAGATTGGTGCAAGAGACGGAGTTGTTGTTCAACAGCCCAAAGCCAAGGGTTTGTTGCGCGCCTTATATAGGTTCGACCATATAGGACCGACGATCATAGCCCATGGAGGGTGGTGCCTCTGCCAGTACCCCCTGATCACCTGTCAAAACGCACATAGTATAGATCATCCATATGACACTAAATGAATGTGGACGAAAATCGTTCCGCTTTTCTGCACGTTCTTCCGAGCTCCGCAATGATTGAATGGGGGGTAAATAGCCGGTGGAGATAGGGCAGCGTGGGCTTCATGACAGCGAGGGCATGCCGAGGCCCTTGTGCTGCCGATTGGAGGACAGGCTGGCGTCTGACCCAGACAGAAATTAAAACCAATTTAGCTCTGCAAGGGCAATGGATGAAAGCCGGATTGTCACGGAATTGGTTGCACGCTAATGTGGATAGTGATAAGCAATCTGGTGAATGTCTCGGCGACGCCTTCCCGTCCTAGTTTGGTATCGGACGCTATCTCCTGTCACCTTATGCACGACAATATGCCCCAATTTTGTACATCGAACCAGGAATCTGAGCAGAGACGCATTTTCCGCTTTCCTTTGACTAGCAGATGTAAATATCCAAAAGGGTTAAGCAACTGGCAGATTCCTTGAATGACACATAATCCAATCATCGATAGGTCAAAGCTCACGTTTTATATTTCGGGAAGCCCTGCTGATCAGTCTTAAGGCGAAAGTGAGACGGTCTGCCAGCTTTTCTATGGAGTCAAGCTGGAATCACATCCAGTAGTACTCAAGCCTTTAGTGACAAAGGCGACGTTACTGCTGCGAAGGAAGAAACAGTCCCATGCCTTCTCTCTCAGGTCTCTATGATCTCCTGAAGCAGTCGTCTTCTTGTATCAAATATAATCAAACATTGTAATACGTCGTCCGTAAAAAGTCGGTAGCCCAGGAACTAACGGTCGGAGAGAAGATACAATCACTTTTGACACGACACAGATACTTCACGGGGCCATTGGCGCCAATATTATAGGCATGGTAGGTGAGATGCATTTGTTCCTGGCTTTTGGCGACAGCAAGATCAGTCCATATTTGTCCAGTTATTAGTTCTGCTACTAAATCGAGTCGCACCAACATGGACTTACGATATCAGATCAGGTAAGCTGTGGGATGCAACAGTGCTGCAGGAACGCGATCAAAAGGTCAGCGAAAGACACTTTGATGAGAATTATACGCTGCGGATCAGAGTGTTCAATACCGGCAACATCATGTGAGCTTGTCGCGCTCGCTGAGACCCTCAGATGATGCACTGCGCTGCTTCTCAAGTACTAGCGGTCTTATGACTCTGATATTGTCAGTGTCTGCAAGGGCTGTCTGTTGCTGGATCTGTAATCTTGTAACATTGCTGTTCGGAGGAAGGAAGGAGTTAGTGAGTGGGAGATGGGGGCCCGATAGAAGGACTTTATCTCTTCTTGGTTTGCACCCTACTCTACTATTTATACTCTGGATGTTCTTCGGGAGCAATCATATGGGCTCTTTGCGAGTTCATCTGGTAATAAATACTTTACATTGATAAACAATCTATAAGTGGGGACATTCCATATTAATATATATACTAGTAGTTTCCAGCTCACTGCTACATGGTAGGTATGATATCACACCGGCTTACGGAGGCAAAGTTTTAGGGAATATTGTGAATCATCATCCAGCCAAAGCCTGGAACCTCCGTAACAGATACTGTTCCTCATCTTCCGACATGTGGACTCGCTCTGCCATGGCGTATCCATCCCTGAGTCGGGCAAGAAGGATCGTCTTCCCTGTCTTAGACCTGACGGCTGCTTCAATTGTCTTCGCGATGCCTTGAAAAGGGTACGCGACAAGACCAATCCCAGCTATACGCAAATACCAATCAGCGATCATTCGATACGAGGTGGGCAATCATTCGAAAATATTGTACTTACCCGAAGGAACTTTAGTCGCCAGTCCAATGGTTCCTTTTGCAAATCCTTTAACGGCCCCTAACGCCCCCTCTTCCCTCGCGCCTTTGATGGGCTGAGAGAAGAACCCCTTGAATCCATCTGTCATGCCATCAACAAAGTTCTTGCCGCCCATAGTAGCACCAGATTTCCAATCACGAACTGTGCCATACTGCTTAGGTTCCTCTCCATAGAGTCGAGGAACCTGTCGGAAACCCTCAGCAGCAGCATAGGGAATGTCTACCACCGCGCCTTTGAAGTATGCTCCGGTGAACTTGCCAAAGCCCTTAAGAGAAGCTCCAACCATACTTCCTGCCGTTGATAACGCGTGCTTATTGGGCCCATCGTTGATAGGAGTATCCGTATGCATCAGTTCAGAAGGCCGCCTACTTGCCTCGGAAAGAGCCGTGAGAGATCTAGAAGACGACGATGTTGTAGTTGTAGAAAGTGCAGATCCGCTCCGCGATATTGGTGGCTTTGGAGAACGACTGGATGTGTATTCCTTATATGGGTTGTATAGCATCTCGCCGGTCGACTTAAGCATTGCAGATCCTGTACTTGTAGTGGCAGAGAGAATGCCGGTTACGGGATCCCAGCGACGGTTTTCGATATGTATCGGATTGATCGCATTGCTAGTACGAACCTCGAGTCAGCACATGCCAAATTATTTTACTAAGGCTCAATTGAGAAAATATTGCTCACCCCCGAAGCTCTTTTGCATTGATTCTG